TTTTCCCCTTAATTTCATAAACCACAATTGCTTTCAGAATGAGTGGTGTAGACAAACCAAAATGTGATGCTGCAGGCATGACAAACCTTTCTGATTCTGATTGATAGTCCTAATTTCTCCTCTTGTCAAAAGAGGAGCCTCAAGTTTCATCAATTTGGTGAACTGCAGGAGACAATAGAAAGATGCAGCAGAAAAAAGACTCTTGTCATTCCTAAATTGCTTTCAGAAGGTAGAGAAACTCTTCACCCTCTAGATAATAAAAAGCATGTCTAATAGCATAGAAATCAATTTACCAAGGATATATACCTGTGAAGTCTTCAGCTCGAGCTCCTCCCATTCTAGAGATGAATCACTTCCTTCCACTATCCCAGTTCCCGCATAAATTAATGCGCCAAGACCCTAGTTATTTCATTTTATCAGCATTTTAATAACCGTGTTCAAAATAAATCACTTAAATATATTATAAGATTTTGAAAATTTAAAGTAAAATATCTATAACATATGAAATTGGATTAGCAATATTTGTAACAGCAAAATTGATTTTTTTCTAACATGTGAAACATTAAGTACGGAACCTTTGATTCATTATTGATATATAATAAAAATTATTATATAGCAAAAGTAAATTATTAGTATATAAATATTTATATAGGCGATGTCTTATTTAATTAGTCCCTCATTAAGAAATTTACATCATGTGGTTATCTATCAATTCTTATTATGTGTGGAGCATATACAGGCAAACGAGTTCTCTGAAGAGGAGTACTCTAGGACGAAGGTGAAATGCAATGAAATATTAACCTCACCTTGTCAACCAAAGCTGACCTTATTCCAACAGCAAATTCACTCTCTTCCCCTCCAAACCAACCAACAGGACCAGCATACATTCCTCGGTCAAACATTTCTGGGAAACATCAGCTGATATTAAATGATATACCAGAGCACAAGGTCCAAGAAGCCATCGGTTGATTATCAAAACCTATTAGAATGACTAATTACAGCATTTGAAAGCACCAGCATCCAGGCCGCACATGGAAATCTATGCATGAGTTTGCCTTTTAAAAATATTCCTATATACTGTCAGTGGATATCATGATGAGGATAACGGAAATCAGGCTTTCTATAACTGGTAAGGTAATAAGTGGACAATCTGATCCATTAAGGCATTAACTACAAGCCTATATTTTCCATTCTGTTATCTTTCTATTCTATCCACCAATATAAGAAGTCACCTAACATTTTGGGTGCAAAAAGAGCTGGGTAAAAAAAGATTAATCATACCGGTTTCTGAAATAAAAGCCCGTGCATCTTCTGTAGGATACCCACAAACTGCTGGAGTAGGGTGAATGGACGACAAGATCTTAAACTGGAAAACTGTAAATGTTTAGTATGGTACTTTGTAAAAGGAACAGAGGAAACAATAAGTTCATCCATACGTATAATCAGCAAATCTTTACTTATAGTAGAAATTCAAAGTCAGCTTTTGTTTCATCAGTTTTGCCAATTAGAGGGAGTGATTATGAACTAATTAAGGAAGATTGTTCGAGAAAATACTGACGGATGCGTCAGTCAGTTCTAGTTCTCATGAAACTTACAATCTCAGTAACTAGTAGATGGATTAATAAAGATGTCAAGACTTACCTCATCATCTTCAGTCTGGAGTCTCCCCCTCAATTGAGCATAAAGATGTTGAACTCTTGGAAATTTTCTTATTGCTTTCTTTGGTTCAATTAAAACGCTGGAACATACAGCCTTTGGAACAAAAAAAGCTAGCTTTATACAACATGAAAGGTTCCTGAGATATCCTAAAAGTGGACAAGGGAACTTTTGAAATTTCAAATTTGGAATATATAAAATTTGACATGCTAAATTTTCAACACGTCAACAAAATGGACATGTCACCAAAAAATATTGAACAAGTTGCAAATCTCAAATTGGAAAGTTCAAAAGTGTGCCTTCCCTTATGAAGTCCTCTTAAGATTCTGTTTAGAAGCCACTTAACCCAGCTTACCTCCAATTTTCTTCTTATGCACTCCCGTACTATAGCAAACTCATTATGGTCCTTAGCACTGCAGAAGAATAAAAGAATATAGACAATACACCACTGGACAAAGAAATACAATAATGACATAATGTGTTTTATCTATAAAGCACAAAAGATGAACCTGGATAGTAAATCCTGTCCTATCTTAAGATCCAGAAGCTCTGATCCACCCCTAGCCCGTGTTCCAGCTAAAGCCTCGCTACAAATGCTGAGGCAGTCCCGATGAAATAGCTGCTCTGGCTATTCAAAAAGAGCATAAGGATTAAATAAAACTATTTTATCTCCTCACCATTTCTACATCCAGCGTACAAAAAATCCATGTACTTTGATACCATGGCTTATAATTGGCACTAGAAACATTCAGAAGTGAGTTTGATGCTCCAGATAAATAGAAGGTAGTGGGTATGGGATCTCATTACTGAATTTCAATAGATGGAGCAAGAACTTCGTCACAAGAATCCAGTTCTCACCAGTACAACTGCTTTGCTTATCTCCTGAACTTGCTATCCGTAAATGGTTTCATCTATTTACCAGCTATAAATATTTAAAAACTCAGCTATAAAAAATTTAATAAGATTCTTTTCATTCTAAACACATTAAGGATGGTTGTGATCAGGCAATTTAGCTTCATGTCCTTTCAATGTTGAAGATGATGGCATCAGGATTTCATACTTGAATTTTTTTCAAAATGTACGCATAATTAAAATATTGCTCTTCACTCAACAAATACACAACACAGAAATAACTGTTTTCAGTGCCAATAACTCTTCACATATTAGATGATATAATGAAAGGTGCAATGTAGAACCATTCGGAAATATTTTGCTTGATGTGAATATAACATCATTTCAACTGGTCGATGGACCATAATCTATGTTAGTGTCAACCTTGAGGGGATGCACCCGNTGCGCACCAAAGAAAGGATACATTCTATGGATTGAATACATTGCTTCATTACACCATTTAGTTATTGAGAAAGAGTTTGAATTACAGTGTTTCCAATGAATGCCGCTGACTGGGGAGGTTGCAAACAGAACTGATATGCATTTTCTCCTTCAACCTGCAAGACTTAATTCTCTATATTTTAGCAAAAGAAAAAGATACTATGCTAGTGAACTGTTCATCATTATAAGGTAGCTAATCAACACCTTTAAGCAAGATAACCATGTTAAAGGATCAATGTCCGCAGCTGTCACAACTCTGGTGCTACGAGCAAGTACCACCTGTGGTTTACAAGAAAAGGTATGCACTTTAACACCACCTAGATTTACTCGTTATGAACCCACATACTAATGTGAGCATCAGGTGTATCATTTTGTTCTTCTATTTCTACTGGTCCTCTATGACAATACTTCATTTTAGAGTAAACGCATAGGTGAAGACAACAATACATTGTTAGAATATAACTCAAAGGTAAAGAACACAACCGACAACCTTGATAAGCATCGGGTTGTTTCTTCTTATTATTTGCAAAGCACGCTTAACAGCTTGGTCCCAAGATGCTTTACCCGGGACATGAGTACTTGCGAGTATATGCGAACGAGATATTTTTTTCCGCACCCTCATAAGAACGGAGGAAACCTGCATTCATTAACATAGGGTTTAAAAGAAAAGTTAATGAGGAAAGAAAAAAAAAAGGACTGAAATGAAACAACCAAACAAAAAGGATTAAATGAAGCGAGAAGGAGAGACCTGCCATATTGTGGTCTGAAGTGCTTCTATTGCCCTCTGGTACGTGCAAGAGACAGCATTATCCCATGCGACTGTTGCAGCAATAACTGAACTTCCTTCAAGCTCATCAAACTCAACCTGTCATTTAGCATCTAGCAACAGATGGATTATATTCAAGAGACAACATGTCTAACAAATAGGTCCTAAGCAATGAAGAGTTGAAAGTCAATCCATTTACCTGAGGGACCATGAAATAAAATGAACCAAAAGCATTCCATTCAGGACCTATATTGGCTGTTGCATCAAATCGGATTGCCCCATAAGCACGAATTAGAGGACATTTCTTGGAGAGGTACCTTTGGCAGAGATAAAACAATGCTAGAGTTCAGAACATAAACAATGAGTTTAGCCAAGTCTTTTGCTAACTATGGTTCCAGGTTGTCCAATTATTGCTAGTTGAAATCCTTGCGCCATTTTGGTTCTCTTATTTCTTTTTTAAGAAATTTTTCTGAAGTCTAACTTGGATAATCTCTGATTAGGATACCATATGATAAAAATGTCAGTTCTAGCGTAAAACTAAATTTCGAGTCTAGTTTATTATCTTTTTTTAATAACCGTGGTGTCCGGGCCAGATTACATGCACCTCGACTAACGGGATACCTGCTACCTCCCACCAGCAACAGGTACCAGGTAACTCCGTCCATCAAGGCTTGGACAGATTTCAAGTCCAGTTTATTATCATTGTGAAGTTTGTCCAGCTCCAAATTTTCTACTATGATTTAGTAACACTAAAATTGCATAAAACATCATTAGCCACGTCAGATTACCATAAAATGTGAAAGGAAAAGATAACATCCATGGGTTGATCAATTCAACTTGAAATAATATATGCAAAAAAGTTGTATCAATAGTGGAAAGATAAGATAAACTAAGAAATTGTGAACTTAGGCCTAGCAATCTCATTAACTCAAACCAGATGGCAAAACAAAGTCAAATTAAATGATAACTTCTGAACTTATGTGTTACCACTACCCACATTTCGGACCATGTCTTGTGATGATTTTTTTCTTTTTTGTTAAGGCAAAACAGATGTGCTTTAACAACTTTGTTTCTTCAAGTTGGTTCATGATTTTCTCGAATCATTAACTTCATCAACTCCCTTAATCTGAATCATATTTACCAGAGGTGAATCCAAAATTTAAACTTGATGAGTTCAGCCTCTAAGATTGAGTTCATTACTCAAATGATCACTGAATTGCAAAATGATGGAACAAAGTCACTTACCTTTAGTTTGTAACAGGAAAATCACTCAACTTTTCCTAATGCACACAGATAGTCACTCAACCGGAAATATCAAACTTTCCGGTGGAAAAAGTTGACATGGCAGTCTACATAGAATTTTTTATTATTTGACCAAGTAACACCCAAACAAAACATTATAACTCTGCCCATACACCCGATCCGACCCGTTGAATAAAAACCCACCCACTTAATAAATAAACACTAAAGAATAACCAAACCCTCTGACCATTATTTCACGCTGCTCTTCTTCTCCATGGTTTCACTTTAGTCCAAAGTTGAGCTTTTCAACATGGAATTGGAAGGTGCATCAAGTAGATAATATAAAAAATCTCAAAGGAAGGGATCCATCTCGTCCCCACAACCATTGTTTAATGTGGATTTGAACCACTATGCCGAGGGTATTGCACAGCACATGAGAGAAAACGAGGTACTCTTAATAAATATTATTTTTTTGTCTTTATATGATAAATTTTTTTAATATGCTATCTGTTGTTATCGAAGAACAACAGGATTAGTGTTTTTTAATACTTTAGGTGTTATAAATTTTTATACATGTGGGGTTTAGGGCTTATTATATATATGGGTTTCTGATTCTTTTGGAATTAGGATTTAGTTTAGGGTTTTAACATGCAAGTGTGTTAGAGTATTAAATATTTGTCGATGGTTGAACTATTTTTCAACTCTTTATTTTGTATATTCTGTAGGAGTGGTTGGAAATTCTAGATGGGTATTTCAGGAAAATAGTGTTTTGAGTAATACGGTGGCTGAGAGGAAGGGTAATGGTGATGAAGAAAGTGAGGATGAAGATCGGTTAGATGATCAAGATTTCAATGATCCAGCCTATAACCTAGAGGAAGATGATGACGAGTATCATGATATTACTGCTGATAATCATGATATTATTGTTGAGAATTATTTTAAGAAGGCAAAAGGAAGACCAAAAAAAAAAATACCAATGATGGAAATAATAGAGTTGGACTATCTGTTGGCATCCTAATTCCAGAAATAAACGAGAATGCTGATTCAGATTATGCTAATCTGATGAATTGCTAGAGCGAGATACTGATAAAGAAGATGAGGTAGAGGTCGCATATGAGGAGTATAACGAAGAAATGGACAACCCTATATTAGAACTAGGAATGAAGTTTGGGTCTTTTAAACAGTTTAAGGAGGCTTGTATGAATTGGGGGATTAAGAACATGTTGAAAAGCTCAATTTTGGATTAGAAGTGAAACCATGGAAAGAAGAGAGTAGCGTGAAATAATGGTCAGAGGGTTTGGTTAGTCTTTAGTGTTTATTTTATTAAGTGGGTGGGTTTTTATTCAGCGGGTTGGGTGTATGGGTAGAGTTAATATTTTGTTTGGGCGTTACTTGGTTAAATAATAAAAAAATTCATGTAGACTGTCATGTCATCTTTTTCCACCAGAAAATTTAATATTTCCGGTTGAGTGACTATCTGTGCGCATTAGAAAAAGTTGAGTGATTTTCGTATTACAAACTAAAGTTAAGTGACTTTGTTCCATCATTTTGCAAAGTTCAGTGATCATCTAAGCAATGAACTCCTCTAAGATTCATAGATTGAACTCGTTAAATTATGAAATTATGGATTCATAATTTAATATTTGTTGAGTTTTTGGTATTTTTTACACACACATACACGAATACATTTACTTTTACACATTCTGTGTCGAATATTGGGTCAGTTGAACCCATTGTACAACGGCTTTATCCGCCTTTGATATTCACACTTATAGCCTGTTTGACCAAGTTTTTTTTTGGGCCAAAAGTACTTTTTTGGCCAAAAATGCTTTTTGCTTTTTTGGCCAAAAATGCTTTTTGCTTTTTTGGCCAAAAATGCTTTTGGCCAAAAATTCCGTGTTTGCCAAGCTTTTGAAAGGAAAGAAAGTACTTTTGACCAGGAGCAGAAGCAGTTTTTGAGAAGCAGAAAAAAGTACTTCTCTCCAAAAAATACTTTTCTGAGAAGCACTTTTGAGAAAAATATCAAAAGCTTGGTCAAACAATAATTACTGCTCAAGAGCACTTTTTTGAAAAGTACTTTTGATAAAAGCATCTTTCAAAATAAGTTTATTTTAGAAGTTTGGCCAAACAAGCTATTAGAAACGACTCTTTTTCTCAAAAGTTGCTTCATGTTTTTTTCCTTCGCTACACTAATTTCATCAGCTCTTTCAGTCAGAGTCATATTCACACTTAAAAACAACATTTAGTTGCCCAATCTTCAGGACAAATTATACCTTAGCAAAAATCCGTCAAGAATCATTTTTGCATAGGTATTTCTGTTTTAGCCATTAAGAAATTCCCTTAAAGACGTAATCTTTAGCTTAATCCATAAAAGAGAAATACATAAAAATTACCTGCGTATAGCACGCCAATCGTCAAAGGAGAAAGGGCGTAAATGAGTAAAGAAGACAGCAGAGCCGATACCAGCTACACTGACCACTTTAGAAGAGGAATGAGAAGTTCCATTCCCAATAAAGCACATTTCAGAATCAACAGCTGGCCTTCGACCGGAGAAGAAACAGCGCGGGAGGAGGACATGGTTCTGAGCATGAAGCCACTCAAGCGCTTCTATCTGCTCTTCAATTGGCACCTTCCCAACAAATATTTTGTCAGAATTACTGACATATCAAAATCGATATGTAAAATCATTTTTACTATAATACTATAGTTGAAACTATTTTTAAATTATTTTGAATAAAATTTTGTTATTAGACGGGAATATACTACTCCCTCTATTTCCATTTGTTTGACTAGTCTTAGTTTAGGTGCTTTCATGATTAATTTTAGAAAAATAAGTTATAACATGAATTGCACTTTTAATCACAGAAGTATATTTTACAAGAAAATAATTATACAAAATTAACGCATGTACAATATTTTTATACCTAATTTGGGAGAAAAATATTATAAATAACAACAACAACAACAACAACAATCCAGTAGGATCTTACAAGTGGGGTTTGGAGAGGATAATGTATACGCAGACGTTACCCTACCCTGGAGGGTAGAGAGGCTGATTCCGAAAGACACTCGGCTCGAGAGCAAGAATAGGAACAAGTAAATAACAACAATAGGCCAGGAAAATGATATCAACAATGTAAGGACTGGAGAAAAAATAAATGGACAAAGCAATAACAATAGCAAAAGCAATATCCACAAGCAGTAACACGGCAGGGTACTAGAAAATCGAAGCGGAAGATAGTACTAAAACAAACCTAATATTGGCATTCTAAGAATCGAAGACAATGTACTAGTCAGCTAGCCCTAATAAACCTAGAACAGATCAGAAAAACACACGACGGCCTATTACCCTTCTACTATAATCTTCGACCTCCATACCCTCATGTCAAGGGCTATGTCCTCGGTAAGCTGAACTCGCGCCATGTCCTGCCTGATCACCTCTCCTCAGTACTTCTTAAGACGTCCTATACCCCTTCTCCTACCTGCCAGCGCCAGTCGTTTACATCTCCTCACTTGGGCATCTAGGCTTCTGATAGAATATATGAGTCCACTAAACTATATAGAGACCAGGTCCTCTATGAGTTTCCACTGAGAATGCTAATAAAACAATAAGTAAATAAGACATGGAGTTTTTAAGTGGAAAAATCCCTGCTCAAGGGGATAAAAAACCACGACCTACACTAGTAGGATTTCAACTTCACTATGAGCCACTTTAGATTACAACCTATGCAATCTAGGAATTAAACTCTTAATCTCTCACTAACTTATAATACACCTATTGCAAGACACTTTGCAATACACCTATTACAAAGATTTCAACTCATGACTACTCTAGTCACGACACAAACGCTAAGGGTTTATGGTTTTACCAGGGGTTCCTAAGTAACACTTCTAGATAAGCAAAATAGGAATTACAATGAAGAACAATTACAAAGTTACAACTCAACTAAGGACATACAAAATACTAGCTCTAGGAATTGGTCCGTAGTAGTGTTAAACTGCGTTCTTGATGCACTTGAGAATTGAATGCTTGAATGTCATATGCTTGAATGCTTGAATGAATTCTCTAGTCTTCAAGTGATGTTTTGTTGTAATGTTCAATGTTAATACAACATGGATGGCATCACTTGAATGATGTAATCACTTTATAGGTCAAATGAGAAGTGACTGCATAACTGTGTTGCACTGTCTCTATGTACAGTGCAGGCAGTTACGTTCCAGCTTTCCGGCTGTAGACAGTTGACTTCGTACTGCTGTCAGGGAAACACAAGGGTATCAGGTCCCTGTGTTAATTCTCTATCTTCTGAAGTCGTAGCAATTCACATTAGCTGGAGTCCGTTGATTTGAGTTATGTACCAAGTGTGTCAGGTTCCTTATCTGGTTCTTTCACAATAAGTTTGTTAGATCATCAAAACATAAAGCTAGGGTATTGTAAACCCATCAGCTTCTCCTTCTCACATGCCCAAATCATCTAAGCCCTGTTTCACGCATCTTATCTTCCATAGGAGCCACACCCACTTTCTCACGAATATCCTCATGCCTAATCTTGTATAACCTAGTGTGCCCCCACATACATTGCAACATCCTCATTTCGGCTATGTTCATCTTCTGAATATGGGAGTTTTTGATCGGCTAGCATTTAGCCTCATACAGCATAGCTGGTCTAACCGCCGCCTTGTAGAACTGATCCCTAAGTTTTGATGGCACATTCTTGTCACACAGAACACTGGATACTAGCCTCTATTTCATCCACTCCGTCCCCATACGGTGTGTGACATCCTCGTCAATCTCTCAATCCCCTTCGATAATTGGCCTAAGATACCCGAAACTTCCTTTCTTGAGGATGACTTGTGAATCAAGCCTCACGTCTATATCTGCTCCCCCTGACACTACGCTGAACTTGCACTTTAGGTACTCCGTCTTTGTCTTGCTCAACTTGAAACCCTTAGACTTTAAGGTTTGTTTCCAAACCTCCAATATTTCATTGACACCGCCTCGCGTCTCATCAATCAGTACTATATCGTCAGCGAATAACATACACCATGGTATCTGCCTTTGAGTATGACGCGTCAGTGTATCCATCGCTAAAGTAAATAAGAACGGGTTGAGCGGAGATCCTTGGTGTAAACCCGTCCCTATTAAAAAATGTTCCAAGTCTCCTCCGACTGTCCTCACCCGAATCTTAGCTCCATCATACATGTCCTTATCACTCTAATATATGCTACAAGAACGCCTCTAGCCTCCAAGCATTTCCAAAGGACACCCCAAGGGACCTTGTCATACGCTTTCTCTAGGTCAATAAACACCATATGTAAATCTTTCTTCATATCCTGTACTATTCCACCAACCTCCTAACAAGATGGATGGCTTTCGTAGTCGAACGTCCCGACATGAAATCGAACTAGTTCTCGTAAATAGACACCATCCTTTTAAGCCTCGCTTCTACCACCCTTTTTCACACTTTCATAGTGTGAGTAAGCAACTTGATACCCCTATAATTTTTGTAATTTTGGATATCTCTTTTGTTCTTGTATAACGATCATCGTACTCCACCTCCACTCCTCGAGCATCTTCTTCGTCCTAAAATAACATTAAATAACCCAGTTAGCCACTCGAGTCTAGCCCTACTTGCATACTTCCAGAATTGAACCGAGATCTCATCTGACCCGATCGCTTTGCCCCTGCTCATCTTACGCACCGCGACCTCCTCAAAACTAAAGAGCCTACGGTACCTAAAATCACAATAACTCTCGAAGTGCTCTAAATCTCCCAGCACAATATTCTTATCCCCTATTCATTCAGGAGTTCATGGAAGTAAGCCTGCCACTTTCGCTTGATATGTGCCTCCTCCGTTAAAACTTTGTCGTTCTCATATTTGATGCACCTCACTTGGTCCAGATCACGAGCCTTCCTCTCCCTTGTCTTATCCAGCTGAAACAACTTTATGCCCCTGCCTTTGTCCCTCAGTTCTTCATACAAACGAGAAAGCACTGTAGTCTTAGCCTCCGTGACCGCCAACTTCGCCTCTTTCTTAGCCTTCTTATACCCTTCTCTGATAGTCCTCTTCTCCTCCTCGTCTGTGCTCTCTGCTAACTTCAAATATGCGGCTTTCTTGGCTTCTACTTTCTTTTGGACTTCCTCATTCCACCACCAGTCTCCTTTGCGGCCTCCAATGTAACCTTTTGAGACCTCTAACACCTCTCTCGCAGCCTCCCTAATGTAGTCTATCATTCTCGTCCACATACTACTCGCGTCCCCACTACTCCTCCAAGCCCCTATAGGCAACAACTTCTCTTGCAACTCCTGAGCATTGTCCTTAGTTAGAGCTCCCCACCTGATCTTCGGTCGACCACACCTAACCCTCTTTTTCCTCTTCGGTACGATGTTTAAGTCCATCACCAAAAGCCTATGTTGAGTCGTAAGGTTCTCACTCGAAATAACCTTACAATCAGTGCACAAACCTTTAGCACACCTCCTGAAAAGGAGATAGTCGATTTGGGTCTTGGTCGTCGTGCTCGTGAAAGTAACCAAGTGCTCCTCCCTCTTCTGAAAACTCGAGTTTACTATCACCAAATCAAACGCCTTAGTGAAATCCAACAGCGAAGTACCTCGTTTCTACCCTAAAGCCAAAGTTGTCATGTACCTCATCGTAGCCCCCAGCAGACCTCCCAGTATGCCCATTAAAATCCCCTCCTATGAATATCCTTTCGATGGGCGGAATACCACGCACAACCTCATCCAAACCTTCCCAAAATCGCTTTTTAACATCATCATCCAGGCCCACTTGGGGGAGCGTGAGCACTAATAACATTCAAAGTACGCCCTCCAACTACTAATTTAATAGCCACCAACCTATCATCCACCCGCCTAACCTCCATCACTAACTCCCTGAGATCCTTGTCCACCAAGATGCTCTCTCCGTTCCTACCCCTCTTACCTCCTGAGTGCCACAGTTTAAACCCATCCGCCTCCCGCACCTTAGACCCTACCCACCTAGTCTCTTGGACAAAAGCTATATTAATCTTTCTCTTCTGGAGAATCTTAGCTAATTCTATAGGCTTCTCTGTCAAAGTCCCTATATTCTAAGATCCAATTCTCAACATAATAGCGAGAAAAATATTATAAATAAATTGTTTAATTTATGTAATTTAAATTTTAATTAATTTTAATGTCCTAAACAGTAGGACTTCCTGTATAGTATTTCAAATAAGAAAGTTATGATAAGCAAAGTTAGTTGTCTATAAAGTTGTAAATCTTTAAACAATAATTAAATAATTATTTTGTGTAACATGAGATCTATTTTTAATAGCGTTAGGATACACGCTTTCCTAATACGCAAAGCATATCATAGTCTATATTTTTAAAAATAATATAACTAATATTCAAAACATATGCTTGAGATAATTAAAACACCTTTTTTTAATTGTGGATCGAGAAATTATAATGTGATGGTTGACATATGTATAAATTCTCTCCTTGTGAAGGTAGTTTAAACCAAATCTATGTTAGGTTCATTATGAAACTATATCATATTTTACTAAATATTTGGTGTATGAAAATTATACGAGCAATAAAAGGTTTAATTAGATTCAGACAACTACTTCAAAGGATATTTTTTATTTATAGACAATCAAACTAATTATATATGTAGTATATTTCAATTATTTGCATTAAATTGATTGCGATTTGATTTAGTCTAAAAATGATTTAATTTATTCTAACAGGAAAAAGAAAAAACAAATTGCCAAAAAGTTAGAAATAAGAATTTTTCTAACATTTCTGACATAAATAAAGAAGGAAGAAAGCCAAACTTAGAAACAAACTCTTCCCAACTATTCAAATTTATTTCTTTTCTACCCGATGATTAAACAACTACATGTCACAGTCTTGTATAGTTTTACTGGATTAAGTTCTTAGTTTCTTTTTATTCCTTTGAATGGTTAATTAAAAGTTTATTATATTTATTTGAGCATAATAATTGTAATGGATGATACAAAAAACACGATGCACTGGGATCTATTCAGAGAGCAAGGACAAGATAATTCATTATATAGTTAGTTTACACAATATTTTTCATTTTCTATTCCAAAATATTAGGATTCTTAACTACTTTAAATAAAGAAAGAAAATGTTAATTGATTGAAAAGTCATAAATATTAGGAAAATAACTCCAATTACAATTTTATCCAATAAAAAATTAATTTTTAAAAGGGTAAAAAGGCGAACGATATTTCGCTACGAGTCTAAGTGCTTTTAATACGATATAAATAGATAGATTTTAGTCTGACTTAGAGTTTAAGGAAATTTTTTTGTAAAATTTAAATTTAAATTTTTCATGATATTTGTGTGAATATAAAATTTTAAAATTTATAATAATTCTTAAACATGCTATTAAATTTGTGTTAATATAAAAGTTTGAAAACTTTACAATTGAATTATTTACAAGTATCAAATATCTCAATCTTGTTTAGAACAGAGAAAATAGTGTCACATATATATATAATATTTCATATGTCTCTGACTTCTTAAGATTTTACAGCACTGATGCCAGTTAATATCAAAATTAATATTTTTAATATCTAACAATTAAAAAATTTCCGATATTCGGGATATTGTACATAAAATACACATTGTCAATATCTAATTTTGCTAGTGACTGATCACTAAAATGCCATTGACAAGTGTAATCATTCGAAATCTTTTAATTTCAGCCTTATACTAGTTTTTCTCTTTTCATCAGTTTTTTAATTCGAAACTTATGATTAATATTCTAATAAATATTAATTCGCTTGTGATCTCCTAAATACTATTACTATAACTTATAAAATTTAGAACTTGATTTTATAAGTTAAGTAAAATTTATTCTTTTATTAATTACTGTATTGTCTAGCCCTAACCAGTTAAAAGGTTAAATGAAATTTACTCTTTTATTAATTACTATATTTTCTAACCCCAAAATGGTGTGGGGAGTTGGCAACTCCTATTAATTAATGCTTTATACTCAAGAAGATCGACTGTTTGCTTCTGGAGGGTAGATAAGAAATACGATCAGGAATTCTATAGGCTAATCTGAGCCAACCACGTGGCTTATATATACTCAAAGATAGACAAGTTGGATTTTAATTCCATTCGGTTTTTGTCATTCAATTGCGGATTCAAAATTATAGATTAGCTATGCAACTAACAATAATGTGTTTTCCGATCCGTACAGAGTGTATTCTTCCTGCAGTGTGACAATGGATGGATGGGATGCACACTAAGTATGTATGCATATGAAAAGATACATGAGTCCATGTTTATGCGAGTGATAAAGATTTACCTCAAGACGAATGATACCGGAATTGTAAGGAGGAGGCTGGGAGTTAACCAAGTCACAGATGGCGGAATTGAGACGTTCCATGGCCAATGCAGGGCTAGAAACTGCAGGCAACGTTCTTGTTTCTATGGTTCCAATAGGAGCTCTTGGGTCGCCTTGGCACCCATTCATTGACAATGAACAAGACTGATGATATGATCTCTGTTTAATTGACCAAACACAAAGACATCATAATCTGTAACTCCTAGGGAAATAAAAGAGAATATACAGTATCTTACTTGGTTAGAGTTGGAGAAATGAATAGACTGCTTTCCAATTCCATAGAGAGGAGAAGACAAGAGCGACCATTTCACGAGTGATGACTCACGTAGAGTGCAGTGCTTTGCACCAACAGCCATTAACATGTACAAGAAACGATGGGAAAGCTATTGTTTTCTTTTGAATAACAATTTGCATACATCCACAAAGAAGATTAGAACTCATAACCATACCATAAACAAATAGTCAAGAGTTTTGGTAGGCTATTATTATTGGCCATGGATGCTCTGAACAATGGGCCACCACTGCCATCTTAGTCCATGACAAAGTAATTGTGATAGAGGAGTGGAAACTCTCTCGTCGCTTTGTGCCCACTCGTCTCTCTATATCTCCTCTCTTTATTGTTTGTCATTTACTCTTGCAGCTACGAGTAAGCTTCATCCCTTTTATAGGCGCGTGCCTAAATTTAGTATTAGGTCCTATGATTACGCCATTTTCTCCTATGATTATATATACTAAGGTCCTGTGGTCACCATCAAATTCAATTTGTGATTACATCACACGCAATTTAAGTTCCCTTTTTCATTGATCTTGTATGTTATCCACATGCCTAATTTTACTTTTTAAGTTCTATGCTTTCTCTATAGAGCATTCTTGTACTTGCCGAAAATATAAAAATCTGTTAGTACTTTCTTTATTTTATATAATGTTGTCTTAAGGTAAAGTTTTAATGAAAAATATGGTTAGTGAAAATTCATATTACCGGCCTAAATTTGGCGTCGTGGTGATCTCAGGACTAGGCTATTCCTTCAAGTCTATTATTAGCTCGAACCATCAACACTTGCGTAAATAAAAAGTTTTAGTATTTTTGTGTGTCTCCCCAAACACATCTGAAGGCGTATAATCATACATCTCTTTGCTGAGATTACTTCTTTGCAACCACTGTAGCACTGCGCAGTCTAATCTTTTAAGATAATGCTTGGATCGTGCTCCTTTGTCCTAACTTAAGACATTAAAGACCCCTAACGGAAATATTGAGGTAACCAACCCATTGACACAATCTGGAACCAAGGATTTACTGTTCCTTAGGCAAAACACCTCCAAGTTCCAGCAAACTTATGCGATAGCCGAAGAATATTCATGTATATGTAAATGTTTGCTTATTTAAATCTCAAACAACTCCTTAGTTCTGCAGCACAAGGAGAAACTGCAAATTGGCGCTGAAACATGTGGAAACCCAAGTAGGAAGAGAAGACATCTTTAGCTACTTTGCATGAACCACTTTTGCCATTGAACTCCCTTCATTTCCAAAAGTTTCCATAGTACAGAGGCAAGAATGCACCCATGGCTATTGCCCAGGCCCACCAACTACCCATTTTTCTCCTAGTAAAACAAATTACTACTAAATTATAACAGAAATAATTTAGCCCTCCGCACAAGGCTGGCAGGTTTCTTCCTCTCCAGCACTGCTAACATGTGATTTTAGACCCATCTTCTTATATACTATTCACCTTCAGCATTAAGCCCAGATATCCGATGCCGCCTCTTGTCAGAGCCTGTTCTGAAAGACTCGAAAACAGCCCTAAACGACTCACGCTCAGCTCGTAGTCTCTCTTGAAATATGTTTTGCTTCTTTGGTTCACCATTATTTCTAGCTGATATCAACTTCTCTTCTTCCGGCAAAGGGTTAGACTTCTGCATATATGTAGAAAGAATAAGACAGCTTATCGTATGGGTTCCATGTACACAGAAATTGAAAGCATATACCAACCAAATGTTGTATTATGAAGAACAAACTTCTCCAGAAAGTAACAAGAAAGTTACTCAGCAAGTTTACAAGCATAATATAGCTAAATAAACACCAACATGGAAATGACGATGATTCGAATAATTTAAATAATAGCGTTCGTGGAATCTCACCAAGTTGTATCCTGCACCAGGACCAATTAATAAGGATACATTGGTAGCTTTTGTTGCCCCTATCGAAAAGCCTCTTTTGGTCACCTAAAAAAAAGAAACACAAGTGAGCAGAAAAATTTAGCGAGTGAATGTTTTAATATGAACAGTACAACAGATTGGGAAAAAACAACAATCAGATTGGTAGAATCAGGTAATCTCTACTTCCTCGTAAGGATTTCGGTTAGCACTGTAATAGATAAAGTTAATAAACTGGAACAAGTTACAACTATCATCAAAATCATTCAACACCACCAACCTTATTGCTCCCTCTGTTTCATTTGGACTGGTACGAAGTTCAAAAAGGGTGAAGACGACTTTTGAATCTTGTGATTTTAAACTAAAAAGTTTGCAGAATATACCAAAATTACCGTTTTAAATCTTGTGATCTTAATGCCAAAGCATTCCTACAAGGGAGTGTCATCACTGATAAAATTGGAATGTTGTAATTAAAAACTTACTAAATATAGAAGGTGACATTCTTCTTGAAGCAGACTAGACGAAAGTACGGCATAAATTGAAACGAGTAATAGCTACGTAAACATGCCAATATGATACACACCAATGCCAATGTGAATGAAGAAACTTCCCATCAAGCGTAAATTTTAATGAGATGGAACCACTTACCACTCAAATCTTTCCTCCCGCTAATGCTAATGTAAAATTGAAAAAATAAATCTCCCCACAACCTTTCAATGACATGGAACCACTTAATTCGATTCCTAAAATTCTTTCCCCTTCGGGATAAACAAGATCTTTGCTCAAAGGTTTTCTCATCATTCCAAAGTAATCAATATCAGCTATATAGGTGCTTCTCTTTCTGATAAGTATCTAGACTAGTAATGAAACCCACTGATATAAAGCATGCGGATACCCAAAAAAAAAAAAGATAATTACACTCCAAACTTACAATAATATTGTTAAGAGAAGAAACATTGAAGTACCCCATGTGCAACCCAACAAAAAAAAATTAGCACATTTCCACATTTTTATTAGTTTACATTTGTGATCCAAGAGAATATGCTTGATTCATCTGCCCAAATTCTGCAGTCAGGAACCTCTATTATATGCAAATTAACAATGAAGCATGTAATGACAATCTAAACATAATTTGCCGGATGATCGCACCAAACAGTAACATAGGCACAGAAACAACCTATAATATGGAATACTCCGAACTCCTCATTTCCTTCCTAGAAATATTTTGGACTCCTCATTTCCTTTCTCAAAATACATCTTTTCAAAGTAAAAGCATAGAGTGGAAGGGGGAACTCTTCACGACAGTGTATCCAGCAGACCCTTGCTAGTTTTAAGTGACAGGAGATGAGACGATGAGAAGAAGAAAAGATATAATGACTCAAACACGTCAATCTTTGCTGGTAAACCCATCAGAAAAAAGCAGAGATGGAAAGAGACAGCTGAAAAGTTTTCACCAATCATTTTCACATAAAAAGAACCACATCAACAAAGGACTAGGAATAGCTATCGTCCATAACACTTTTAAGTTACCTGGTCACCCCAACGTACTGATTTCCCTTCTTTGCTGTAAGATTGTATCAACCCTGAGAGAGCATTCAAGTTTTTAGTGGCGTCTTCATTTCTTCGAGTATCATCTTCATCCAAATCAGAAGACCATTTACTCTTTGCTAATCCTTTTACTTCAGCTATTTGGTCAACTTCATGGTCCGACTCCTGATCATCCTTTAAATCGCCTAGTATTAAATAAAATAATGAAATATAATTAGATGCCTTATTAGACACCATTCTGAAATCAAGAGAATGAAGAAAGGACAAATTTGTATGTATCAACTCCAGAATGATATACATAATGATAAAGAGATCCTTATACTACATTTAATAGAGCCTAACTCATGTGACAAGTAATCATTCGAAGGGAGAATATGTTCAGCTTCAGCCCAGTGGTCAAAGATAAAGGGTTGACAGCTGAACCTTGGAATTAGCATAGTTCAACCACCATAAGAAGTTGGGTTCTTTGTGTTATTACACAATAAAATTAGCTCAACTTTGCTTTACGCNGGGGGCAATGTCCACTGTTGCTAAGGTAGGAAACAATACACATCTACACCAGAACTATAGCAAATTTGATTTGGGATAATTATTCAGAAATGACTCAATCCATGCTAACTGTGAAATTGTTCACTAGTTAGAATTTGCATACAACAAGAAGGACGAGATCATCATAATAAATACAAACGATCCTAATGAGTAATGACAGAATCATGACCTACCATCAGCCAGAATATCCTCTTGGGGAGGTATACTAAACTTCTCAATGTTTTCTTCATCTAAAGCAGAAGGCATTCCCAATGAGTCATCATCTTCCATGTCCATGTCCACCTGCAGATCCAAAATAAGACCCATAATTTTAGAAGTTTCTACCTCCCAGTAGCACAAACCACACATGCTTTGGTAGTACCACCAGAAAAAGATGTGAATAAGACATTATAAGTTAGCATATTATCTCAGTTTTATGTTTTATAAATAAAAGCCACATTATTAAATGAACAAAGCTTAGGTGCCAAAAGGCGAACTATTCTCGAAGCTAAATAATGCCAAATTTACAAACCATGGGGTTCTTCTATTTTATTTTTTTGACAACGTCACAAGCCATGAGAAAATTTTACTTTATGCCAAAACTGTATAAAAGAAATTGTTGGACTCTCCAAGTAGCATTTCCAACACAATCATAGGCTAGTCTGTTTCTTTTTTCCTTTTATATTTAAAAGGCCAGACAGCTACTTCCAGATACTCCAAAGCACAGATAAAGGTGGCAGCATCCCATGCCATTAATCTGCCTCTCATACTTGAGTGGATGCCCAAGTATCCATCGGGTGTTTACACTAGGGGATGCAACAACTGGACTTATTTGAGGTTATTTACAATAGACCCCATTCCTAGTTCCTACCTCCTCCTTTCTCTCCTCTTTCCTCTTCTACCCCCTACGCTCACACACACGGCCATGTGCGTGCATCAATTGAACCTAGGTTAGATAGTCAACAACAACCACCCAGTAGAATACTAGGTTAGATAATATTCAATGAAATATGAATAACAAAATTTACCTCTTGGATTCCACCCTCCTCCAGAGCATCTCCATGAAGTAATGACTGCCCCATTGTTGAAATAACACACAAGAACAAAAGACATATTAGCATCCAACTCCTAAAAGCTGATAAAACTGACTTCTTACATAAGGTCTAAAAGACCACACTAACAACAACTACTCTGAAATAAGTTGAATTGTATAAATCCACTTGAGAGTCCAGGAATGTAGAACCTACCCAACTATGCAACAGGATAGTTTTTAAGGAGAAAGTACCTTAGTATCAAGTTTCAAGTACATGGATGGAGCTTCCTCCCATTGGGCAGCCATCTTTTGCACGTCATCCCGCGTAAAACCATGTACATTCCTTGCTGCACATCCCTGAATCGACAAGGACATGAGGATAAAAGAGTAAATTCAGTGGATATATACAAGCTACGGAAGAAAATCAATAAATCAGACATAATGCTCGAAAATTTGTCATGGTACAAAGAAATACATGACTGAACTTACCGCTGGGTCCTTATAGGTCGCCTCTAGCAAGTACACTTCATAACCAGATCTCTGAAATAATAAGCAAACAAAACAATCATGGTAAACAGATGGGCAACAATCAGTTCCTCAAATAAATGTGATGGTGATTTTGAAGATGATAATCAACAGTTGGAGAAGCCACAATAGTACAGAAGTAACAAAAGCAGCGTGCATCACTGTAGGAAATGACACGAGCAATAAATTTAAAAAGCAAGGAGCACCATTCTGGTCCAAACTGCCAGAACTCCGACCAAGAGTGTTATTGCCACTTAACATCCAAATAAATGACAAGAGACCTAATAATATCAGCTTTACTTAGTCTCATCTTTTTATGAACGAAGACAATTTATGCAGCTACTAGTATAGTTAGATGGACAATCTTGGTGGACAACTTTGAATGACTTGCGTTGAGTCTTAATTTAAACCTTGAACATATCTTTTTTGAAACCTACCGGGTGTTTTAAGAATGAAATAATTGCCTTCTAAGAAAAATGTATCTAGAAAAACTACATAAGCCACATTCATGATGTTATACAACAGATAACCAGACTGAATAAAATAAACAGGAACCTACCGAGTTACTTGGAGAGAGTTTGATTGCCTTCACACAATGAAATTTACACTAGACTCTAAATGCTTAGCTCAAATTTCAAAATATATGTATAACAAATTCAGGCAAATCCCCAACAAGAAAACTAAACTACAGTAAGTCAACTCAATTTTGCTACTTCAATTACATGAACTCAACGAGCATTACTCAGTCTCATCACAAAAAACAGAGATAAAAAAGAAGGATGACAAGGGGGCTTGCTCTGATGGTAAGCAACCCCCACTTCCAACCAAGAGGTTGTGAGTTCGAGTCTCCCCAAGAGCAAGGTGGGAAGTTCTTGGAGGGAAGGATGTCGGGGGTCAATTTGGAAACAGTCTCTCTACCCCAGGGTAGTGGTAAGGTCTGCGTACACACTACCCTCCCCAGACCCCACTAAGTGGGATTATACTGGGTTGTTGTTGTTGTTGTTGTTGGTTCCAATTTATGTGATACAGTTTCACTCGGCGCGGAGTTTCCGAGGAGTTTAAGAAAGAAAGAATTTTGAAACTTGTGGTCTTAAAATATGCTATACCGTTTGTGTGGCTATAAAACTTATGAAACTTATGGTCTAGCACATGCCATATCATTTGTGTGGCTATAAAAGTTTCTCATTAAGGGGGAAATGGAAAGTTGAAGTTAGATTGTTTCCAAATTATGACAACAACAACAACAACAACAGCCCAGTATAATCCCACAAGTGGGGTCTGGGGAGGGTAGTATGTACGCAGACCTTACCCCTACCCCGAGGGGCAGAGAGGCTGTTTCCAAATTATGAAAATGTCTTTTTTAAATGGACTAACAAGAAAATAGTGTCACATAAACTGAAACAGAGGGAGAATAATTGATCACAAAGAGGTGTTCATAATGAAAGATCCATATACCAACTCCTCTGAAAATTCATGCATAATAACCATCGAACTAATTCTATGTAATAGCAGAAACAAGTCATCAGCAGTTACGTGGCTCCTACCTGTGGAGGCTCAAGCCAATACAGAAACTGACTCTATACAGAAAACCAAATTACTAGAGGACAAGCTTAGTGGCTCGAGATATGATTCAAATATCTTTTGGCTACAAATCTGAAACATAAACCGTACTTCAATTATATGGTTTATTAGTTGCTTGGCTTCTCCACATATGAATTGCTTTCATCAAATCAAGCCCTTTTTAACACATCTCTCTCACAACACC